AGAGTTCAAACTCATAACTCACTTTAAATATGAATTCAACCAAATCAAGTGTCACTTCATCTTTATCCACTCTCCTAATACACACTTCCCTCAGTCCACTGAGATTGATGGTATGAGCTACCTCTCCACTGATACTAAGAGGACCACCTAAAAATAAAAGTACACTTGATTTGGCACAATTTTTGAGCAACTTTAAAAATTTGTAAAAAACCAAATTTGATTGGAATAAGCTCAAACTTTCTACACAATATAAAAACATGAATATGCATTGGGAAAAATTATAAAAATAGAGAATTCCCTCTTTGAGATTTTTTGGCTAAATGCCCTGTACTAAAGTACTGGAACAAGAGCCTGAGGATGCACGAGGACTACGCCAATATCCTGTGGAAAACCGTCATAAAATGGCAGATCAAATTAAGCAATATTCAGGCACAATGTCTAAACATTGCTTGAGTGTAATTCAGGCTCAGCATGCACACGTTACAAAATGAACAAAAATCACAAACAAACAAAACCATAACTTGACACACTTCAAAAAATCTAAAAAAAAGAAAAACTAATCTCACCTTTAGCCTGTACATCTGCAGGAATCTTACTCACTTCCAGTAAAAGATTTCAATTACAATTAATACAATTAGCGTCTTCAGCAATTTCTATACCACTAGGTCTTCTTCTACAATGTATAAACATGTCACAGCATTTTATAAACTATGATACGTACCAAAAAATTTCTAGGATGAGTTTTAGCTTTAAAACTTTAGATTCTGAGTAGTATTTGCTGGACATAAAATCCGCCATTTTTATTTCTGCACTTTACACCACGCCTACAAAACATCATAAAATTAACTCTTTGTTTACTCAATTTAACTAAAGCTTTTTTGGAGGACGAGACTAGGTTTTTTCTTACTCTTTTCTCCTCCTTTCTTCCTCCTGTCGTAAGGAATAGTAGCTCCAAGAGTGATACGTTTTATCCAGCCAGACATGGAAGCTTTAGCCAGGCTCAACCAAACCTCTACAATCCTTTCATGGAGGACTCCTACCCGGCTCAGACACCGGCTACGGCACTACCGGGCTCTCCTGTAAACTACCAAACGAAGTAACTCTAATTTTATTTCATGATTTTACCTTGCCAAGGAATATATACATGAATGTGTAAGGAGGATGTACCATTGTTGAAGGGTTGCCGGCAAGGGGACCCGATAGAAGGTCTTCAGTGTTGCCATTGGGTTATTTGGGTATGATAGAAAGCACTCAGAATGGAGGTTGGTAATGGCATACTAAATAGCTAGTAATCTTTGGCTAGTTTAGGTTGTGCAGCTATTGGCCAAAAAAGCCAGCCATTTTGGACCATTACATGTATGTGTATGGCGGTATGCTCAAATTAAAACCCACCAATCACTAAAAACTTAGCACCCCTCTACAATTACCAGCCATACGGCATAGATATACTACCTGTAAACGGGATTGGATACTTCAATGATAATAAGTGCAAGGCGTGTTGGGGCGTATCCCCACCAAATCTGATAAAATTTTAGCAAATGCATTGGCTCTATGGCAAAACTTTGTGGGACTCTAGCAGCTGTATTTCAGAATGAAGCAAGCAAGTTTTTGCTTATATAGATATTTCTTAAGAGCCTTCAGTGCAACATAACATTTATTTAAGGTAATACTCACTAGTAAGAGCTTTTTAGGCTATTTGAATTTTTTGCCAGATAGCTCGGGATTCCATTACTCACAAAATACGCAACACAGACTAAAATGAACATCACGGCGCACTGAAGGCTCTTAAGAAGAGTCTATAAAAGTAAAACTGGGCTGTTTCGTTCTAAAATGCAGTAGCTAGAGTCCCACAAACCTTCGCCATTGGTCTACTAAGAATTGAACAACGCGATCCCAACAAGCCTGGTCCCCATGGGTAGTAACGGAAGTTTCCAATCCCGTTTACGGGTAGTTATCTATGCATACGGTATTATGATTGAAGTACTGAGGCACTGTTATTAATGTTAATTTGTAGGTGACTCCACCAGTTGAGGCAGTTATTCTTGTTCTCTCCTTCATCTGGTCTCTACTCTTGTCCTCTTCCTATGACTGATGGAGGAGCTAGACTAATTGAAGTGAGCAGACATTACACACAAATGCACATTATACTTAATGCATTACATACACATTTACATGTACATGTACATGTACTTATTGATTCTCTGGTGCTACTTCTTGTTATTGATTGCTTTCCTATAGCAACAACCAAATTTTGCCAAAAATGTCAAGTAGAGAATTCTTAATTTTTATAACATTTTCTGATACATATGCATGTTTTTATGTTGTGTAAAAAGTTCGAGCTGATTTTGATCAAATTTGAATTTTTTACGAATTTTTAAAGTTGCTCAAAAATTGGGTCAAAGTCCCCATACTATACTATGTCCCAACTGAGAATGGACCGGAAGTGGAAGCAGCTGCATTGGAATTTGAAAAATGTAGCTACGTCACTAATGACGTTTTATAATGATATTCATAGAGACATGGCCAATATTTCGGCTGTGTTATTTCACTCCTAAACAGTCTTGTTCTTCCTGATAAGCAGTACAATAGCTGCTGGAGTCAACTAGTCTTCATAGAGGCCATCATTATCAGAAGATCTTGCTCTGTTAGCATTTTAAAAGAAGAATTATCAGTTTGGGCGCTCGACCACATGTGCTTATGTAAACTATGACATCATAGAACGTCATTGCGGTTAGCTTTGGTATGCCATTGGGTTTATAGGGAGAACCCGGTTCTCAGGGTTCCCAAGGGTTGAGAGACCCAAGACCTGAGATCCTGAAGCGGCATTGGGCGACTAAGAACCTGTGAAAGTCTCATCCTTATCCCACATTCCTATAAAAATTTATTCCCAGTTTTTCGTGGTCCAAACTCAGTTGGGACATAGTATATATATAGTACTGGGGCATCGGCCAAATTTTGCCAAAAATGTCAAGTAGAGAATTCTCAGTTTTTGTAATTTTTTTCTGATACATATCAAGTACTTATGTTGTGTAGAAAGTTTGAGCTGATTCCGATCAAATTTGGATTTTTTACGAATT